TGCTCTCAAATCAATCTCAAATTTTGGGCACAGGCTTGATCAATTTGACGTGGATCATCCCATATACATATTTTTTTTTTACTGTAGGAATATTCAAAGCCTTGGTAATCTTTAATTTTGAATCATTTAATTCTTCATTAGTACATTTTGGATGGTATTTAAGAATTCATAGCTGCTATAATAGTTTAAGTAAAAATAATTTAACTAGTGTATTTAAGGCAAATAAGTAAAATTTATACATACCGGTAAATGCATTTTACAGGTTTTCTTTACGATCCTTAATTTTGTCCAATGTATGTGGCTGGAAATAATTCGGTTTTTGAAACCCTTGTATTCAAATCGTTGTTTGTTTAAACATTAAACATAATTTGATCGAGAAAGTATTTATGTTTCCTTATTTGCAAAATATTGTCTTTTTACTAAAACTCAAACTTACGAAAGAACAAATCCTACACCACATCAGTAAGCATTTTATCTAAGACTGTTTTCGAATTTTTTTTTTAAGAAAATTCTTTGACAAAGGTATAACGCTGCAATACCTATTATTCACCAACTTTAGTACAAACAACTTATTTCTTTTCTGGATGAATAAGTTATGATGATGATAAAATCAATATTGGATAAGTAAAATGCTTTAGAGCAATAATAATAGATTCAGAATAATGTGGGATTAATTAAAATTGTTATTAAACGAAACTAGGTCTAAAATATGAATATTGATAGTTGCGTAAGATTGTTTTAAATTATTTTTTATAATAATAGTGTGTATATTAATGTCACATTAGTAATAAGACTGTAATGAAAATAGACGTTAGGAGTACTACAACAAAAATAACTTATATTAATTGTCTTAAAACGCATTGTTAGAGATTTATTTTTATAAACGTTGTTTTGCTGTACAGGTTGCTTCATAAATGATAATGTCATGATCAAACCCCAAAGAGTACGATTCATATAAAAGCGTTCTTCCATTTTATAACACATATTTTTTGAAACTAGTTTGCATATTGAAATTTTTGCCAATGTTTGATATGATTTTATTAGAATATAAAACATATTTTATATACGGTGTTGTGAACGGAGTGGTTTCCATTAAATAAACTTTTATGAAACATCCTGTATTGTATGTTTGTGTTGCTAGTATGGTATATTTCGTCCAACCAGATATTTGTTAAAATATCCCTAAAAAGTGTGATTATTTTTTATATTTATTTAAGGACATAGTAATTACTGCGCTTAAAAAATTACAGTGAAATACATAAGACTGCGATTATTTTGGTGTGTACCATGTAATAATAAACTCATTCACAGTTTAAAACATAAAATAATTTTTTAAGTATTGTAACCTTGCCTTTAACCAATATTGGGGTGAGGAAAATATGATGGTAAGGTGAACAAATTAACTTTAACTGACATTTGTAAGGTTTTTTTTGAGATAAGGACCAAAGCACAACTTTTTTCGCAATTAGCTAACATAATGCAAAATTTTGAAACATATCAAATTCTTAAAAATTTCTTGTGCAACTTGGTGTTTAATATAAAATGTGTAAAATAATAAAAAAGATATATTTATACACGTTCCGATATTCACCATTTCATCTGATCACTTCGTATGGAGGATATTTGTTCATCGATAGCCATTAACACTTAATCGTAAAGATTGATAAAAAGTACAACATAATTATAATATAGTCTGTAATAAGTATAAATAAATTTAAATTTATAATTGAAAAGAAATATTCACGAAATAATACGAGTTGATTCGTACGTAAAAAATAAAATTATAAAATTTAACTGAATTTAGAACATAATTTAAATTTTCTTCCCATTATAAAAAATTGTGAAATGATTAAAAATTCATTACATCACAATACAGATTGTTTTTATTTTCATTATAAAAGTATCAAAATGCTTTGATAGGTAATTTGCTAAATTCGTTTGGAAATATCAATAATTTTTAAACTGTCTAATNAGACGATTCGATATTGTGGTGTTTTTTTCCAGTTAATTATTTTATTATTATTATTCTAACGCCTGCTCACTGAAGGATCCTATCTCAATTGTTGAAATTATCACAAATTGATCGGGAGTCACGGAATATTCACTGGGTACATCTCTTAATCTCTTAATGAAAAGCTATTCTATAAATAGATGATATTTATTTGACTATAGATTAGAAAAATTGCTTTCTTGCCAAATAATTAACTGGAAAAAAAACACCACAATATCATTTGGGAAATTTTTTTGACCCTTTGTAGAAAATGTCGACTTTTGATGAGTTCCAAAAAATAATTTTTGGGCGACTTTCAAGGCTGTAATTTGCTGAAAAATGGTCATAGAGCAATAAGAAAAAAAATCAAATTGAAGTTTGAGGTTTCAGGATGTGAAAGCCAAAAAATCATTTAAATCTTTTTCCCATTCAAGTGAATAAATCAGAGCTGGATATTATTTGGCATATGTGACATTAACAATATTCGTTTTCGAATAAGAGGTTAAAATAATGGGTACAATTTTCTTAAATTCATGCCTCTAAAATATTGTATACGTTTAATTCTGAAATTCACTACAAACATATTTTAAACATTTTTTTTTATAATAACCGATACTTTGACCGATATTTTATTATAATTTCAATTAATTTGAAAAACTATTAAATAGGAACTTTTTTGTGCTACAGTAATGCAAAATCATCCGTATTATCTTATAAAGTTAATATGGACGATCAAAGAAATAGTTAAAAATAATATTTAGGAATTCCCTAACACTAGAGCATCTGAAAAATAGTTTCATCGACTTAAAAAATATCTATATTATGAACTAAATATTTTGTAAAAGAATATCAAATTTGACTTATATCAGGCGTGACATCAAAAATTTAGGCGCATGTTTTTACTGTCTTTGGACAGGTACAAACCAACGTTGTAATTGTTTTTTCCTTAGAAGATAAAGTAGTAAACATTTTTCTCAGATGATGCATATTTTTGTACCTCTCCTTTGATACAACCATAGTTTCTCATTGTCTTGAAAATCTGAGGCAAAAATTCAATATTGTATTCGTGTAATGTGAGTATTTGAATTGAAGTATTCTGGATTCAATCATTTTTTGAATGTATTCAGAGTTCATGCATTCAATACATTTTCTGTATTCAGATATACCTCTGAAAAATACATATGTATAGCGACTTTCTTCAGTGGAGTTTCTAAAAATATAAACTACCTACTTGATTTGATAAGTCCTTTAGAATTTCTTGCACCTGCCAATCTCAAATTCGCGGTTTCACAAATGTTCTGCCCAAATTCAGAATTTACTTATACCAGCTCATGTTTTTACTTCATTCTAAAGGTAATTCAAATAAATTCAAAAGTTTTTTTAATGCTATCAAATTCACTGTGTTCTATATTAATATTTAGACATTATATTCAATTTCAATTTTAGATGACACAGATCCACAAAAAAAAGGTTATGTATCCGAGACATGAATACACATAACTTGTGTCTTTTTATGCTGAATCCAAAATCGCCCAAAAACCCATTTACCAGGACATTTGTTGTTAAAACGGTAAAATATCTCCTAAAATAGGGTGAAATAGTGAGGATAAGGTAAAGCTTTATAATGAAAAACAATAATTTGTATATACATACATTATAAAATAATAATATTTTGAGTTTTGGAGATAGATAGGTATATATCCAAATTAAATCCACACCCACCACTAACATCAAATGACGCATGCTAGTGCAAAACAATGCGAAAAACCACAACCTTGTATTTTATACTGACAAATATATAAATTCAAGTTGATATACAACAAAATATGTATAACTTATTCCTCAAAGACCTACAGACCAGGGTCCCACTTACCCCTTTAATTCATTTTTATATTCAATATTTTTGCCTGAATTTTGTTACCGCGTGTTTTTGGGGTCGCTGATTACGAACATGAAGTCCGCATATGAAAATTCCTAAATAAAAGAAGGCGGATCCAATACGGCGGATCTAAAAAATCAGAAAAGCAATCAAAATGAATATTATGGCTGAAACTTGTTTCTGGGTAGTTTTCAAAGTCGCAAATCACGAATATAACGTTTCAATTCGGAAAAAGGCCCAAGTAGATCGGTTTCTAGGCTGCGAATTCGGATTCAGCATGAAAAATACACTCGATCTATGCACTCATGTCTCTGGTAGAGAACTTTTTTTCTTTGGGGTTTTGCAATTATTATTTACTATCAATTTACTTGTACATACCTAAATTTTTNTTTAAAGAGGTAATTCAAATAAATTCAAAAGATTTTTTAATACTATCAAATTCACTGTTTTTTATATTAATACTTAGACATTATTTTCAATTTCAATTTTAGATGACACAGATCCACAAAAAAAAGGTTATGTATCCGAGACATGAATACACATAACTTGTGTCTTTTTATGCTGAATCCTAATCCGCCCAAAAACCGATTTACAAGGACATTTTTTAGTAAAACGCTAAAATATCTCCTAAAATAGGGTGAAATACTGAGGATAAGGTAAAGCTTTATAATGAAAAACAACAATTTGTATATACATACATTATAAAATAATAATATTTTGAGTTTTGGAGATAGATAGGTATATATCCAAATTAAATCCACACCCACCACTAACATCAAATGACGAATGGTAGTGCAAAACAATGCGAAAAACCACAACTTTGTATTTTATACTGACAAATATATAAATTCAAGTTAACATACAACAAAATATGTATAACTTATTCCTCAAAGACCTACAGACCAGGGTCTCACTTACCCCTTTAAGGCCTGGTTCCACAGGTTCTACTTAAGGGTTAAGTGATACTTATAATTCCTAAGTTATACTTAATATGTTCCACCAAATTTTAAGGATAACGTATCTATCTTAAGTATTAGTTAATTATAGGCCTCACTTATTTTGGGGTTTATCTTTGTAAGGGAGAGATTATAACCTAAATTTGAATAGTGAAAAAAATTTTAAAATACTGTCATGGATATAAATTTGGGAGCTGATGCTGTCGAAGATGATTTGGAGATTATAGAAATTATTGAACATGGAATTCCTAGACAAATTCGTCCAAGAGTGGATTTATTCCAGGTGTATGATAATTTACAATTTTTTCAAAGATTTAGATTAACTAAAGAAACCGTTTTGGATTTACTTCCGCTAATAGAGCCCTACCTTGAGTTTCCATATGATATGTAAGTTAAGTTACTAGATATGCTAAATGATGATAAATTATTAAATGAATATATTTTCAGAAACCATTCATTGTCTCCAATGAACCAGTTATTAATTTGTTTGTTGGCATATTCATCCAATAGTCATATGATAATTATATCAGACCTTGCAAAAATTAGCAAGTCTTCAGTCTCAAGAATAGTGAAAAGAGTTTCTGTAGCAATATCCCGATTGGCTCCTCGTTTTATAAAATTCCCCAGAAATTTGTTAGATGTTAATCAAACAAAAAATAAATTTTATGATATTGCTTCTTTTCCAAATATTATAGGAGCAGTAGATGGAACACACATAAGGATTCTATCACCAGGTAAGTGCTTTTTCAGTATACATATGATATATTTACTTATATTCAATAATACTGTTTTCATTCTCTTGCATTTTGTTGCAACTAAGTGTTATATATAAACATATACATTATTTTAGGAGGAGATGATGCCGAGGTATTTAGAAATCGAAAAAACTATTTCTCTCTTAATGTTCAGGTTATTTCAAATGCCAATATGGAAATTACCGATATAGTTGCAAGATGGCCTGGTTCATCTCATGATGTAACAATTTTTAATAATTCAAATATTAGAAGAGAATTTGAAAATAATCTTCATAGAAATTCATTTCTTCTTGGTAAGTATACTAAAGAATAAAGTGTGGAAATTGGGGATGTTTAAAATGTATTATTACATCAACAAAACAATAATAATGAATAAATAGATCTCATCAGAAAAACACGAAGCTCTGGCTAATTGGTACGTCCAAAGCCATATCACTAGTCACACACACACACACACAACAAAACGAAAGTTATTGCATAATTATTCAAAGATAAGAAAATATATAAGAAATTTTAATGTACAGTTAAATTTTAAGTTACTACTATTTCAAATTACTATTTTTTTATATTTCAAGGGATAGTGCATATCCGGCTAGAGAATTTTTACTGACTCCACTTCAGAATCCTATTACTGAAGCCGAACAACTTTATAATGAGGCCCATATTAGAACACGGGGTATAATCGAGAAACTATTTGGGGTATGGAAACGCAGATTCCCAATTTTAGCTTATGGTTGTCGTTTAAAACTACAAACCATACTTACTGTTATTGTAGCTACTGCAGTTTTGCATAATATTGCGAGAAATATGGGAGAGCCCGAACCCCCTGTACCTGCAGAAATTGATGCTCACATTTTACAGCAGTTAGTAAGGGAAGGTCAAATACCAGTTGTTCCAATGGCTAACCATCAACAATTTTTAGGTCCACAAGTCAGAAGACACTTAATTCAAAATTATTTTGCAGCATTATAAGTATACCTCGTACCTTCACTTTATAAGTTAAAAAATTTCATATCCTTATGTTTGAATATTTTTTTATATTTATTTGTTAAGTTTTTGAAGGTTTAAAATTTATAAAATAAACTTTTTCTATATTAATTTATAATAATCTTTTCACCTTTAGCAACTTTTCTTGTTTATTTTTAAAAGAATATGTAAAAAAGTGCCAACATTTGCTTATGTGGTCAGCCACATTTCCAAAATAGGAAAATAGAAAAAAAAACAAAACCTGAAATTAAAACTATTTAAAAAATATATTTCAAAACACCAATAAAAAAATTTTTATTTGAGGAAGGACAAGAAATCTATACTATTAGACGAACATTTAATTTTCTCAACAATATATTCCTTTATTTTAATGTCCAATTCAAGTGACTTCTTTTTTAGTGCGAATTCCACTGCAGCATGTTCTTCTTTCATCTTTTTTTGGGATTCAAACTGTTCTAATTCCTTAGTCACAAGTTCAATTTTTAGATCTGCCAATTTGTTATATTTTTCTGTAAGGTTTGAAGAGCTTAAACCTGATCCGACTGGCCTACGACGAGTAGACCACGACCCACTAATGCTTTCTAATTTTCTTTTTTTTGATATAGGAGTTGACACACTTGCACTATTCTCCCTTGACTGGTCTATATTTTTACTGAAGTTTGTAGTTGCTAATTTGGTATTAATAGGCTGCCGCAGATTTGTGACTTTAAAATCTCCCCAATTTATGTGATTTTTCTAAAATAAAAAAATCAAAAACAAAATACCTACCACATATCTGACACACACAATATGACTTACCTCAGCTTCATCCTCTACATGAATAATAAGAGTTTCAGTACATTCATTTGTATCAAATTCATCTACAGTATCACTTTGTTCATTAATACTGGTTTCATTCTGTTGTCGATCACTATCGAATTCATTAATTAATCCGTGAACGGTTTTTGGATCTACAACCTCTAGTGCCAAGTCCACAAGAGGATTATTTTCAAAATGACCCTTGCCCCCGCCAGTACATTTAATAGATGCTTTTTCATTGGCTACTTCCTTTCTAACACTTTTTTTTATGTTTTCATAGGCTTTTTTCAAGGAAACAGCAGGTCGATAAATTTGACTCGCTGACTGTGAATTAAAATGTTGTGCTACTTTATTCCAGGCTGCTTCTTTTTCACGCCAAGTTACAGCATCGGTTTTTTTTGATTCTAAAATGTGTTTAAATTGTAGCACAATATTTAGCAAGAGGGTTTTATCTTGATTTGTATAATTTGCAGATCGTGGTCTCTTATTTACAATATTTGCCTTGTCTTCACTCATTTTTACAAGGAACTTATTTTTAATAAATTTTAATTATAAAAAACATCCACTTTTGAAATTTTTAAACGCAAAGTAATATACGACTTTTCTTTTTCTTTTCACCTTGATGCACAAACTAAGAAAATGTGAGGTTAAATTGATCAACTGTAAACAGTGTAAACCACATCATTTAAACCTGATGAAGTTAGAAACAAGAGTGTCACAATTTAAAGATCAGTTAAAGTATCACTTTATTAAGTGATAGATAAATATGTTGGTGGAACACGAGACATTTTTAAGTGTTGCTTAATACAAAGCCTAGCTTTGTTAAGGGTAACAGTTAGGTGTAGACTGTGGAACCGGCCCTAAGTCATTTTTATATTCAATATTTTTGCCTGAATTTTGTTACCGCGTGTTTTTGGGGTCGCTGATTACGAACATGAAGTCCGCATACGAAAATTCCTAAATAAAAGAAGGCAGATCTAATACGGCGGATCTAAAAAATCAGAAAAGCAATCAAAATGAATATTATGGCTGAAACTTGTTTCTGGGTAGTTTTCAAAGTCGCCAATCACGAATATAACGTTTTAATTCGGAAAAAGACCCAAGTAGATCGGTTTCAAGGCTGCGAATTCGAATTCAGCATGAAAAATACACACGATCTATGCACTCATGTCTCTGGTAGAGAACTTTTTTTCTGTGGGGTTTTGCAATTATTATTTACTATCAATTTACTTGTACATACCTAAATTTTTAAATAAAGTAAAAAAACCAAGACGTTTATTGCACCTTGTATACAGGGTGTTCGGAAAAGTTTGTATAAAATTTAAGGAGGTGAAAGGAGAGCCAAAAATAGTAAAAAAAGTTTATATAAACATTGGTCCTCCGGAGCACTGTTACTGAGATATGGCCCTCCAAAGGGGTCTTATCATTTGGATATTTTTTAAAATAACTTTCTTTCTGATTAAGATAACGGAATGAAAATTGTAGGTAATAATTATACCATAAGGGTCTTTAACTACCATAAGTATCACCAAAATCGGTTATAAATAAGGGTAGTTTTATAACCATTCTTAAAAAATATCCAAATGATAAGACCCCTTTGAAGGACCATATCTCGGTAACGGTTCTCTAGAGGACCAATGTCCTATAGGAACTTTTTTTACTATTTTTGGCACTACCTTCACCCCCTTAAATTATGTACCAACTTTTCCAAATACCCTGTATAAGTTTATTTCAAATTATCTGG